AAAAAAAAAAAAAAAAAAAAAAAAAAGAGATAGAGAGAGAAAAAAAATCAAAGAACCCTTTATCATCGTCGCGAAGCTTTGGCATTCAACGAATTTCTTTCTGGAGTTTTAAGCTGGAGAGAGAATTTTTCTCGTTCTATCTGGCGAAAGAAAGAGAGAGAGAAAAAAAAGGAAAGAAAAAGAGAGAAGCATCAAGTGTTTCGATGAAGCGTGATATAATAAAAATGGAACAAACCGTGTCTTCGTTGATATAGTGGTGGGTACAAAATACGACGTGTAAATTGTTAATTTTCAAGGCGTGGGTTATGAAATTTTCTACGTAAGGAAGACACTGATTCTTTTCGTTTATCAATTCAAATTCGTTTATCGATTCAAATTCGTAGTTTCACCTTTGAATGAGATTTAAGACGAAATTTGAGATTTTTGTTACATTTAATACACTAGAGAACAAAATCTAATTAAAAAAAACGATTTTTAATTCGCTGAATATCAACGTATACATTTAATACATCAGAATATCGAGAGAAATGGAGTAAATAATAATATGGCTGTAAAATGTGTTATCTAGAATTCTGACGTTTATTTAAGTCATAATATTTAATTATTGTTTATTATTATTACATCATTCGTTACACTATGTTATGCAAGAATTTAGCAATGAACATCGTTTAGCAATAATAATGTACAATATTATATATGTTATAATATAAAATAATATAATGTACTAATTATATAAATAATATAAAAAAATTGAATAATAATATTTATCAATATAATATATAATAGTATTAGTAATAATAATAATATTATATATATATATATATATATATATATATATCATATAAGTACATATATTATATACATCATTACACACACGCGTATATATCACAGATTTCATTAACTCACACACGTTTCAACGGCAAGCGTATCTACCCCCGACTACTTCACGCCTGTTCCTCAAAATTCACGCAGCTCGCGTTCAACGTCGGGGGTGAACTTCGAATTCACGCGACACCGCGGCCGCGTCAGGCCATTGTCGTCGCCGGCGTGGCGTCAAAACGATCCCGACAACTTTCTTGCCGCATTGTTTTAATTATCGTTACATCGTAGCCGCACGCCTCGGCGCACCCATTCGTTTCAGAATCTCTGACCCAGATCCAGCGGCGTGAATGCCGGCGTAACGAGCCGAGCGCTCGCGGAAGCTTCTTCTCGCGGCATCTCCCCTCTCGTCCCAATCCTACTGACCATGCTTCTTCTTCTTCTTCTTCTTCTTCTTCTTCCGATGGCTCTCTGTACTCTTCGATGCACTTGCACCGGAAAAGCGAAAGGAGAAATAACGCTCGCACACATTGAGTGGCGCGCGTGGTTTAGGGGTTGCTTCGACAAACGGTGCAGAGGAAGTTCGTGAAGATTTAACACCGCGGCTACCGGTCTGCGATGTAATCGCAACGGTGCTCGAAAATATTTGGCTGGATATTTTTTTTTTTTCTTTTTTTTTGGTTGTTGCTTCTTTTTTGTTGGGGTTCAGCGTTTGTTTTGTTTCGCCTCGAGATTGTAAATTGTAGTTTGGGGTGAACTTTCGAAATGAATTTATCAGAGCTCGCGTCAGATTGGAGTTTATCAAGATATCAGAAAATACTCGGATGTTTGTTTGATTGTTGTCGAGTTTCGTAATTGTTAGGTTGCAAGATTTTTTTTAGACAAGTTCATCAGAGTCGACGAGTTTGTCATTTTTCATCTGCACTTGATCTGCAGTCTGAATGATTCGTTTGTCGATCGCTGTTCACCGATTGCGTGCCGAATTTTAGAAAGTTACAAACGTATGGGAATTCTTGCTTGAAATTTATTGCTATACTTGACCTAACAATTTAATATTTTAATAACATTTCATTTGCCTTATTTCACGTAAATGTCCACGTCGTTATATTTCCATCAAATTAAATTAAATTTTGAAACAAGAATCAAAATAGAATGAAATACAGTATTGAGTTTAAATCACGATATGAGATAGCAATATTCATAATATTTGCGTTTAGAATTTATTTTTTTAACAAACAAACATACATCCACGCTTAATAACTTTAACAAGTTACATTATATCATACATTACATTATATGATTATAATTTTAAAACAAGTTATGTTATTTCATACATTATATTTATTTCCAAACTGGAAGAATTGAATAATACTTTCTACGACAGAGAGAATCTGTGAATGAGAGAATGATTGATATATTAATTAATACGAATATATTAAGAATCGTGTTAGAAAATACTCGTTCAATTGAGAAATTTTACTTTCTGATACAACACATGATGAAATACTGAATATTAGGAATAGAATACGTATTAAACTATTACGTATCAAACTATTAACAAACTAGTCCTAAATTACCTCACTGCCGTTATTTTATTTCCACATCAAACGCAATTTCTACCAAACGAAGAATAAGAAAAAAACGAAGGAAATTCTTCCTGGAAAGGACTAGTCCTGTGCACAGTCCTTCCGGAGGCTGTTTTAGCAATTTCTTTGATGACGTTAAGCGAACTCGTGCGCCGGACAGCTGGATATAATGATGGACATTTCGTAGCGAAGAATTGGACGATGGTGATTAAGGAAAAGTAATCTGGTAAATGTATGGCTCCCTCTTTCCTGCTTTTTTCCACTCGCCACCCGTGTTACGTCGTGTTACGTTATTTCTCTTCCCTTGTTCCAGTTATTCTCCTGCCCGGATCTTTTTGTTCTCCTCCTCGTGCGTTATCTTTCTCAGGGGTTTTCTCGATCTCCCAGCGTGCACCTTTTGTTTCTTCTCCTGGCTTG